GAGGAAGCCGCGCGGGCTCTGCCTGGGCCGAGTCGCCCTCACGCGACGGCCCTTTCTATCCCCACACTGGCTGCGCGCGCCGTCACGCGGCGGTACGGTGGCAGCGTGCCGTCAGGTGCCCGGCGCGGTGCATTGTGGGAGCGAGGCGCCCCGCACCTCGCTCGGTGTCCCGTGGTCGCCTCCCCGTGAGGGCGGGCGGCGGTGCCTGCGCGTGCGCGCTGGTGGTCTGGGTGAGCCCAAAACGGTCCTGTCCGTGGGGCCGTACAGTCGAGGCCTTGCCCTGTCCGTGACATTGTAAAGCGGGTTCCCTTCGTGCAAGTTCGAGTGACGCCCGCTTTCCAGGAACGCGCGTGCAACATAAAGCGAGGGAAACCGGTGGTGTCAAAACCATCCTGATCTGTTCGGGTCTTTCACATCTCTGCAACAGAAGAATGGCTCTGTTATTTTTCACGGTCAAGAAATGACTGAACGCTAAGCTCTGGCATTTTCAGAGGGATCGAACGAGGTGTAGGTGCGTGATGGGGAAGCCCCTCTCTCTCAGACAGCCCCAACCCCTCCTCGCAGCCTTGAAATGCGGAGAGCCCCCAGGTTGAATCGCTTACACCTACAGTCCAGTTAGGTGCAGAAGAGAGGAAGGGTTGCCGTGCACGTGTGCGATAGGTGCAGGTCGCTCGTGTTTGCACAAGGCAGTCCGTTGGGACTCTCGTCTCATTATGCCGCTTTACACTTACCCGCTATAAAAGCACACATGGAGTCGCTTCTCCCTTGCTTCACTTTGCCTGGGGGTTCCTGTCCGTGGGGACCGGCCTCCCCGGTTTCAGTTGTATTGGCAGCCCTGCACTGGATGGCTCTAAAGAAGAAAGCATCGGCCTCTTGGGCGAGTTGCCCAAGCTTGCTTTTCATGAGCCAGCCTCGTTCTGAGCAAACCATGCCTGAGTTTGATTTTCATGAGGAAACTTCGCAAGAGGAAGTGTTCTGGCTGCACCCAGCTTTGGCTGCATGGGGAACTTCCCGGATGGGCTGTCTCCTTGCCTGGAAGCAGGGAGATGCCCAAGGCTGCACGTGGAGCTGGCCACATTGCTTCTGGTTGAGGAGCTAGTGTCGCTTGCAAGAGCACGCACCAACTACAGATGCTTCCTCAGCCTGGCGAAGGGTTTCTAAACCCAAAAGCTTGCTAAGAAAAACTTTTCCAACTATTTCAGTTGGTCTAATAAAAGAGATTGGATTCACTCAAAGAAACCTTGTCAACCAGGAAAGTAAGTTTCCTGAACAAGACTTAGCCTTTTCCCTGTTATCCTTCACACAGGTGCCCTTCACACCCAAGCTGGCTGTTCCATCCCCTCATTCCCAAAATGCTGATTTGAATGCAGAGTCCTCTACAAGATGCTGCCTTGAAAAATACATTAGGAGTGTATTTGGTAGAGTAGTAAACCCCAAGTGGATATCAGTGGGGGTATCGCGTGGGCCCTGAACAAGCATCTTGAGTTGGCTGTTTAACTTGTACGTCTCAGCTTGGGTCCCCGTTCTGTTCTCCCAGGAGGCAAAAGTACCTGGCAGTTCAGGTTTTGTAGAGCATAGCAATTCTGATTTTTATATCAAGGAGTAGATAATCATATATGCAAGATGAGACCTTAACTCTCCCCGCACCCACAAAAATTTTTTTTGTAATATATGAGTCTGTTACAGGAGGTGAATGCTTTTAACTCGGATCCCTCTCTACCTTCCTTAGACCGCTTTCAAATAAATCTGCTGCTATTTATTAACTAGCTTCAGGGCCCATCTTACGTAATCAGTAAATCATGGGTCACTTGTCATCATTTTGTAGGCCAAGTCTTATATTTGCAGTTTAGTGTCCATGCTGTGTTTGTTTTCGGTGAACTTTTCCACATTTTCAGTGGGGTTGAGCTGTGCTCCGTTGTATGATATGACAGGTGTGTGTGCCTGGAGCCTTGTGCTTCTCTCTCTTGCTTTAAAAATAGGTTAATGTATGCTGCATGTGCTTTTTCTGCTGAACTTCTTCAGTCAGTGGCAGTTTTGTGTTGGCATACACATCTACAGAACGTGACCTTTACAACTATTATTTATAAACAAACTTTATACACTGTCAAATGTGGTATTGCTCAGTGAGGACCAAGTTTGTGGCTAACAAAAATCTAGGGCTTTTTTTTTAAACCTGAATACCAAGGGGTTAATCTGAAGTCATTGGATAGACTCTTTGACTTAAGTAGGGTTTAGATCAGGCCCCAAGAAAGCAACTGACATGTCTTAACTGGTTTAAGAATGACAATTTCCTCAGCCACAACAGGGCGAACTCCATTGTACCCCCAGATCCCCGTTTTGTGGTTTGTTGCTTTGAAAACCACTGAACAGAACTTTCTCAAGCTCCTCTTGGGGGAGGACATGCATGACTAATTTCAGGCCAAAGACTAACTTTTGGGTACATTTATATGTGTTTTAAAACCAGGTATAAAATACATTCTAATCCAGAAAAGTTGCTATGGCAGCACTAATACGATACTGGGACATTTAATTTTTATATTAAAGCAGAGGAAGTAGATTGGAGAGACAAAATTAAATTGAAACATTATTTTTTTGGTATTTAAAACAGCTCTGTTTAAAAAAAGGACAAGTCTAACCAAATCAAAATAGTTCTACATACAGATCTAGTTAGTACAACTGATTAAACTGCTCTTGTTCCCTTGCTGTCAGTTAAAATGTTTTTCTGCTTGGAGTTAAA